TGAAAACAGTACAATGGGGTCCATGGCATATTAGATCAGGAATACTGAACTGTGTCTTATAACAGTGTCTCAGAAGTAATAAACACTAATCATGCCGTTATTTTTGAGTGCCTTTTAAGTTCACGTTTCAACGAGCATCTATTTCTGCATAATTGTGAAAAACAAATTGCCGCCAGATGAATTATTTGACTCATCAGTTACTAGAGCGATGCGCGAAAGAAGCGAGGGATATATTCAAACAGGACCTGTACCAAGTTTCAACCACGGCAGGTGAATTTAAAAATTTCTAAATTTTGAAGAAAGTAAAAGGCAACTGAAGCATCTAATGTCATTTCAGGGTTTGTGTTCCTCCGGGCTTCCTAGGGCCAAACAGGGTGAGATTCAATATTCCACCCCTAGGCTGATTCTCGATATTTTCAGGCAAGTGGTCGTGGAAAGACTTCTATTTTACATGATATTTGCGAATGTTTTACTGCAATGGGGTCAATGAGTCAAGAAATATGATTTGAAAATAAACGCGCACCGCCATCGAATAAACGCCGTCCATGACTACAGGCGCTAAAACATAAACGCTAAAAATTTAATAAACGGCGTTAATCGGGCAAATGAGATATTTAGAATGATATTGATGATGACTCGTGGCCTAACATGATATCCTTTGCACACGATAATATAGAATAAAATTCTCTAAAGTATATTAGCGTCTCTGAAAATTTGAAATACAGATGTGAAGCGATGATTGGTTTAAACGAAGCGTAATCTCGTAAAAGGAAGTCATCGATCCCACAATGCATGATCGCTGACGGAGTTCATCATACAAATCCACGGTCAATCACTTCTGCCTTGAATTCTTATTCTCCTTCGGGACGGATTTTAGCTGAAAAAATATCATTTGTAGCTCATACTTCATTGTCAATTGATGATCACTGTGGATTGTTCCAATTACATAAAATTCGCGAAGCGGTTGTCCATAAGCCGGACAAGGCTTTTGAGGGTAGCTTGAATTCAGTTATTTCATCACAAAGTTAAATAATCTGTCTATGCGCGCAGAGAAGTTTCCTTGGATATGGAAGTGTTCTAAAGTGACAGCTTTATTCATATCAGGAACAAACCCAACAAATTATCGCCCTATTTCAATTTTACGCTCTTTCAGCAAGATCTTGGAGAGTGTAATCCTCTCAGCTGTACGAATACCTTGATTCAAATAATTTACTTTCAAACAAGCAATTTGATTTCGTTGTAAGCGTTTAACAGCCACTGCATTCTCTGGCTTTGCCGATGAAGTCTTGTTAAAGGGATTGTGCGAAGGCTGTTCAGGTTCAGAAGGTTCAGAAGGTTTTCCATGTAGCTCAGATTGAGAAGACTGTTTAAGTTGAGAGAGGAGATCGGATTCATTAAAATCGTCTGGCGGTGGAAAAGGAGGAAGATCAGCAAATTGATCGGAGTGATTCGGTTGGATAGGTGGAGGCAAAGCAGAGGCGAGCGGTAGATTGTCGTCAAATGAATCAGCGCTGAGGTTGTCTTCGTGCGTAGGATTTTCGGTGGATAGTGATGGCGTGGAATTTTCGTCAGCTGAGGATTTCGGCGGAAGGAGAACGCTCGAATCGTCTTCAATATTTACTTCTTGCGTTTCGTCAGTATGGCTGCCTAGTACAACTGGGAATATCCAGGAGTATTCGCAGTTGACACCAAGGTGTCCTTCCTGCTTACATATGCAGTATAATAACGGGCGTGGACAATTACGAGCTTCGTGGCCAACANTCTGACTCTTCGTCGGAACTATGGTTCAAATTGTCCGCCACTTTTTTTTTTAGTAAATACAATCCAGTTCTTCGCTTGCGCGATGCGAGAAAACCAGTTTAACCGGTATAACAATAGACGAGTACAAATACCGTGTGATATTTGTACTCGTCTATGGCGTTATTCGTACTCGTCTAGGTGTAGTTGGATAATAACTAACCATTACTCGATGTTACAGAAAGGTAGCATATTCTTCTCAATTATTTTAAGACCTTGAGTGTTAGTCCGGCCGGGGCTTGAGCCCTCGACCTCCCGCACAACAGTCCAGCGCTCTATTCATTGAGCTAACTGTTGTGTTGCACTAGTTCGCAATGACAGGCGTGGCTTTCGAAGAATTTTAAGTTTTCAATTTCCTTTACTGTTTTTTAATAGTTGAAACAAAATAAATATTGAGATTCGGCGATTAATGTTCACTTTCGAACGTGTATTCACTAACATTGTCCCAGGCTATACTCGCGGTTGTATCCCTGGATTTTTTGCGGCATCTGATAAGAACCAGCTGGTTTTATGGTCTCCAACTTTTCTCTCAGCTTTACAGTCCCTGCATTTTTAGAGATGTTTTTGAGCACTGTACGGAGGTGTTTAACTTGGAGCAAGGAATCCTTCAATACAACATAATCTGGATATATCAACAAAGTTTAAATAGTAAATTGGCCACCGTAACGATTACAAAAGCTGACGTTTCGAGCGTTAGCCCTTCGTCGGAGCGAAGGCCTAACAGTTTGGGTTTGTACAGCCAAGGAAAAATAAAAAATACCGCAAAGTC